TGATTTGGATTTGAACTAGTTGTATGAAACCCATGCTTCTAAATTCTGCCTGTACTTTATATATATATTTTATATATATTTTTATATTTATATGTAATTCTTTTATATATATATATATATATATATATATATATATAAAGTAAGGAACATTGGAAGTTCTAGGAACAACTGTCCAGAAACCATAAAAAGTCAGTTATATTAGTGCTTTTATGAAAGGAAAAAGGCCTCTGAACAGCGTTAACAGAAATAAGAGTAGCAGAGGTAGGAGGTCTTTAGAAAGCTAGAGCTTTGAATCTCAAGATACTTCAGACTTAGCTTTGTGCTCCAAAAAGTAGGAGAGGTGAACATTTTCAAAGAACCAGAAGGGAAGAACTACTGACCTGATTGTATTGGCATTGCTGGATTTTATTTTGATCTCTGTTCTCATCTCACTCTTTGACACTGGCCATGTCACTTTGCTGCTCATCTTCTGTGCCACTTTGTGGAAAACAAACATAGTGACTTCTAAAAAGCACTTTTCTAACTGTCAGGAACATCTTCCACAAAACCTTTTAATGTAGTGCAGAGAATAACCATATTCGCTGACGAGTCAAAAAAGGAAAAAACTTTCCCTTCCTAAGCACGACATACCAAAAACCTTCCTGGGGCCGGAAATGACATACAGATTCACAGATGTAAAATAATAACAACATATAAAAAGATATTAATAAAATATTATATATATAACAAACTCCAAGGGCTGTTCTAAACTACATGGTGATGTCAACCTCAGCAAACATTCCAGTTGCTTCAACATTTAGATTATTCAGCAACGTTCCTGTTGGGTGAAATCTATAAACAATCACCTAACACACCCAGCAAGGCACCAACATGCAGCTATAGAAGCCAAGGCTGGCAATTATCAATAAATAAAGAGAAGAAAAAGAGGCCAGAGACTATTCTGTCGATATGATTAATTCTTTATATAGCACAAAATCCCAGTCTCTTCCATCAAATGCAAAGAAGAAATATCTGCTTGCACAATAGGGCAACATTGCTTTTCTGGTATTTGAGGCCTGCTGGGTTATCCTCAGTCTCTTGTGTTAGTTACATGACTGACTTGCAAGTTGATACTTCCAGATGGACTTGCATACCCAATTGAAAGATCCAGCGCAACACCCACCTACCAGACTTAAGTTGACTGCCAATTGAACTGAAATTCAGCAAGTACTTCAGAGTCTCTAAAAATATAGATCGCAGGCTCATAAAAATTATAGATGTACAATTTATTTGTTAAAGGTCTGTATATGCTCATTTTCTGGTAACATCCACAAAGCAATGAAAACAAGCAGCTCACAGAACCTCTGAGATCTCCCCACATAATCCTCAAATTAACATAGTACTTTAAGCTTACAAGATACTTTCTATACTATTAATACATTAGCATTAAATTTAAGATACCTAGCTATAGAAGCAAGATGCTTTTTGGCTAAATGAAGTGAAACAAACAACTGTGTTAGAGGGTGCTTCTTACTGGGAAAACCTCAAGGAATCTCCCAAAATCTTCAAAATAATCCACCCAAGTTCAGTCTCTGTACAAAATGAAGTTACCTTCCTAGACCAATCAAAGCCTGTGTGCTTTTATTATGCCATCCAAAATGTGGAGACCTACTCTGAGATGTTTTTTTCTGGCCCCTTTAGTTGTGTCCACAGACCAAGTTGCAACAGTTCACATTTAAAAGGATATTTCAAATCCTTATATAAACATCATTGGGTAAGTTCTCAGAATTGTGCTAAGATTTGACTCACATCCTCAACAGCAAAATAACCCAAGACAATTTAGAAGATTCATTATTAAGTAGTGCTATTTGCCTATATGGTTATTTGCCTAAAAATACGAGGACATCTCAAACTCCATGATTTTCTGCTATTATTGTAGTACTCGAAAACTTGGTTTTAAATATAAGGCAGCCTTCTTCTTTCTCATTTCCCTAACTTATTTCCTAAGCTCCAAACTGACCTTGTTCCCCTCCTCAGATGGATAGTGCAGGTCTCAGCTACCTGGTTCTTGGAGACAAGTTGAGAATTCACTGCCTATTAATCAACCTGGACAGCAAAAATGAGTAGATCGATGTGACTGACGCTCCCATGACTGCTCCACAGTAGTTGCAGGTGTTTAACAAACAAGCAGCATCACTGCAATAATCTTGCCCTGGTACTTGCATGCAAGAGCTATTACTTCTCCAGAGACCCATCACTGCTTTTCAGGTGGTGGGTGCAAAGGGCACGTAACAACATGTGAAATCTATAGTCACAAATGGACTAATACTAGCCAGTTCTCAGCTATGCAAAGTAATGAAGAAACTTAAGTACAGAAAAAAAAACCCCAAAACACACTCAAAAAAATACAAGGTTTTATATATATGTGTATATATATATGTATAGGGATGCAGTAACATATTTAGTCTATTCACTTTTGCAAAACTTACAGAAAGCATTTTACAGCAAACAGGGCAGAAACATGTCCAAGATATGAGTAAGATACAGAAAGAGAGACACAAGCACAACAGGGAACTCAGGAAAGATGCAACTTGGGCAGCCCAAGGCTGTTATTCTAGAGACTAATTGAAGTCATGGTTATCTACATATACAGATAATAGACAGGGTACTTATTTCCTCTTCCTGATTCCCACCCAGCCCCCAAATCCTTATCTTTGTCATAATCTGGTAGCTTTGATACTCGTTTTATAAATATACTACATATTTGAATATTCTCCCCCCCAGCCTCAAAAAATTCTCATTCACCACACAGAACAGAAAGAAAAATTGTATGTTAATAAACTGAAGTAAACAGTAGCTGCAGTATGTCGAGTTCAGGCTTGAGGCTATTAATTTGTCTTATTTCAAAGTAGACTTGCCAGCAAGTTTCACTTAAAATGAACTGGAGTCCTTCTCTCTAATATTAATTGCTACATTTATCTAATTTCTCAACCGTGTTACTCCTTTCTGCAGACACTGCTGGGCTGGAAGAAAAGCCGAAGAAAAAGAAATACAGGCTATTTCTGTACTTGACCTAAGAGCATCTTTGGTCCAGACCACCATATAAATGTCTCTCCACCCCAAACATAGGAAAACTTAGAACTCTTCTGCCTTACTGCTCACAGCTGTTCCTATTCACCCTTCCCCTTCATTCTCTATTGCTTTCTTCCAAAGAAAACAAAAATCTAGCAATATATTTATCTCTAGCAAAACTCTCAGCTTCTCATTGACAATTTACAGTACTGTGCATGTTGTATACAACTGATTAACAGTGACAAGAGACATTTACTCTTGCTGCTAAAGGTATGGATGTTTCCTAGCATCCATTATGGGGTTTGGTCAGTGACATTTTGCATCTGCTTCTCTCTCTAGGTTGGCGTGAACTCTGGTTCAAACTAGCAGTCTCTCGCTTCTTAATAAAACAAACGGTGAAATACCAGGAGGTAATTCATATTTTAGAAAGAGCTTGCATTCTGAACTGCACATATGTTCAGATAGTATCAAAAAATAAAGAATTAGCAGCCTTTTATGAAATCAGTAAGACTAAATGCTTTCTTAGAGAAGGGGAAAAGGTCCCATACTTGACTGATTTATTTTTTCTCCAGAAATGAAGTTAAAATTATCCATTAATCAATTTACTTATCACTGTTCATCAATATGCATATAAATATACTGCCTACTGTAAGGGAAGGCAAAAGTTTTGTATTAAGAAATTTTAAAGACATTTCCATTATTAAACCACAACAACAAAAAAGAAACCTGAATAGTACAGAAACTACATTGAAAACTCCCACAATTTCTGTCTTCATTAAGAAGAGTTCATAATACATTGCTTCCCTCCCACAGCAAAGTGCAACTATGCAAATTCACTGCCACAAAATCTGAGCCAAGAAGAAGCCGGGAGGTTCAACAAGGACTGGAAATGCACAGAAATATCTAACACTGTAACAGTTATTTCTGGCTCTGAAGGACCTACTTACGATATAATAACTCACATCTGTCACCTCTTTGCAGGATGCTCCCTTGTGCTTTGAGGGCAGTAAACATGTGCCTCCATTCACCCAATTCATAGCACTTGTTACTAATTCAAGCCATAAATAAAAACAAGCTTGCATGAACTCATCTACACACCTAACTAAACCACTGAAGCTACATGTTTGCCATGCCCGTGTCTGCCAGCCAGGCAGGGACAAGCAGAAAGAAAGGCCAAATACCTGGACACATACATCAGGGAGAAAGATAATAGTCTTGAAACCATGCAGCAATTTAGTCCCACACCCTTAAATATGGCTCTAAGTATGCTTTTGATTTCAATATAGTTCTCGTTTGGGAAAATATATATACTACAAAAAAACCAAAATGTAGAGGACATTGGTATCAGTGTTACAGAAGGATTCAGCACTATTTCTAGAAAGTTTTAGTTTCCATGGCCTAATGGGTCAGCTGCATCCCATACAGAGCACCACTTCCTTGGCACCCGAGCTAAGGTTTTTGTCAACACCAGCTCAGTGAAGAGTAGAAAGAAGATCCATGTATGCAGAGGTAAGGAAACTCTTTACAGAAAGGACAACAGGCCTACATTTCCACACCAGGATTTAACAAGTCAAATTTAAGCTTAGGAGCATTTATCTTTCCAAAGAAGCATCTATCCTTCCAAGTGAGGAAAGGAAAATCTGCATTTTAAACATACAGGAATCTGCTGAGAAGCCAGTAAAACTGAGATACTGCACATATACTAACTGCTATAGAAGCATGGTCCAATTACAGTTGCTTTGGCATCCAGTCATTGTAGTAATTTTTATATCCTGCAGTCTGTAACACCATATTGCAGAAAACTAAACCCCCATGGGAATGGATTAGAGGATACAGTGGTTCACAAAAGCAGATTTCTAAATTAACATTACTTCCTGTTATCCTTTGAACGCTTCCCTTCTGAAATCCTACCCCAGCAGCATGCTGGCTGCTCACTGAATGGCACTTACTGTTGCTGGACTTGAGGTCACGGTGAATTATGGGCACGATGGCTTCCTCGTGCAGGTAGTTCATGCCCCTTGCGATCTGCACGGCCCAGTTCACCAGTATGTCCGGCGGGATCCTCTTCCCGGACAGCACTCTGTTCAGGGATCCTCCGCGGGCAAACTCCATGATCAAGCAGAGATTGGGTTCCTTCAAGCACACCCCCCTGAGGGCGATGATGTTGGGGTGCTTCAACATGGCAAAGAGCTTCGCCTCTTGGCGGACGTTCTCTATGGTCTGGCTGATGTCCTCGTCGGGGTCATAGCGAGCTGCCTTGACAGCAACCTCATCTCCTACCCATACAGCTCGATACACTTTCCCAAAGCCCCCTATGCCAATGATTTCCTCCAGAACAAGCTCCGAGAAGTCGATCTCCAGGACTAAGGAAAAAGAAGGGAAAAAAAGAACAGATGTAAACATAGAGCAACTATGCAAACTGTACATAAACTGAAGAAGTCCACTTCGCCTCACCTCAGTCTTGCAAAATACGTCAGCCCTTTAGGAGAAGAAAATTTTAACCCTGAAACAATACAAATGAAAGCAACAGTCCTTCCCAAAAATCTTTCACTATCACATAGTGTGATAAAATAGAACTTGCACTATTATAAAAACACAGTATGAAGCAGTCGGTGTGAATGGTGATTAATCTGATCTAAGCATGTTAAACAAGGCACTTAACACAATAACCTCATCTTAACATGCTGCAGCTTTTAAGAATATACCCTAATTTCCTGCGATCGAGTGACAGGTCAAAGTCAAAAAAAAAAAAAAAAAAAACAGTAACAGGCTAATCTCCACTGACTAGTATTAATGGGGTATAGTTAAAAGCTAACAAAATCTGCATCTTCTCCTGAAGCTGCCCCTTATTTGAATGTCTCTGCTTATTTAGTTGTTACTCCTTTCACATCAAGCTTATTTTCCCCTCAGCTCTACAGACTTTGCAGGCTTGTTCCCCACAAGAGATCTCTCACCACTTCTGACATGACTGATAATAAGGTGGCAAACAGATGGACACGTTGGGTATGCAGAGCTGGCAACAGGAAAAATAACTTTTGATCAATACACAGTATATTTTTGACATATAGAAAACAACTTGGAATAACAGAACTATCGTATCTTTTATAGATTACAGCCTGGCACAATAAACCAGTGGCTAGATTGAGTTACATCAAATATATCAGCAGATTTAAATGTCTAATTTCAATATCTATATTAGCATTTGTTCCTAAGGATGCATGTGTTGGTTTTTCCTGATGTGCCATCATACCTCAGGAGCAAAAACGTGATGGAAACTAGAAAATGGACCAGAAAAGCTTTACAAATGCAAGAAAAGTTGTTTCTTGTGCAGAGGGCAAGAAAAAAAATGTTCCTGTGAATAAATCCACCCTTTCATTAGCACTGCAAGCTTCAAGGATTTACATGCACTTTGCTTTAACTACAAAGAAGGTTTCACTTCAGCAGGAATGGTCTTGATGTTCCCTGTTGAAAAGCTACCAATGATCAGAAAAGCAGTAAGGGAAAGAGAGTAGACGCTGACTGGAAACAGTGAAATTTTAGAACCAGACTGTAGTAGCAGCAGTAACTGCTGATAGGAGGCTGCAGCGCTCCTGCGAATTCACAACAGGAGACGCTCTGTTACTTCTCGTTGACAAAGAGATCCAAGCGGATCGGAGCTCGTTTCCATTCCCCAGGGACTTGCAGCTGCGGGAGGGCTGTCCCTGGGCCCCGTCACCAGGAGCAGGTCAATAACAAGCTCACTAGGAACAGGTTAATAACAAGCTCCACACAGGGAGAGCAGGAGGTGCTGAAGGGACAGCTCCAGCCCTGGCACCCTCCACCCCGTGGGCACTCACACAAGAAGTTTCCCTTCACTTCCAAGCCATGTCTCGACAACCCCTGGCCCGTGGGTGTTTCTCTTGAAGGCCACCTCGCCCTCGGAGCTCTCTCAGAGGGAAAAGAGCTCAGCTTTGCTTAAGTCTGCAGAAAGGGAACTTGGTGCTTAACCAGTTCCTTCCCTTTCACAGCTTGGTTGCAGAGGCGGCAAGTATGACTAAGGTACAGCTACATTAGTGCATGGAAGACGTGTTTTTCTTCAACTTTCTTAATATATTAACCAGTTTGCTCAACTCAGGTTTAGTTTGGCAGACTCGCTGTCCTGAAGTGTAAAGACAAGCGGAATATTTAACCAATGTTTTTTTCTCACCTCTGAATTTAAGAAATGAAGCGTTACCATTCCTCTAGGAACTAGTAAGGAATCACAGGGCTTGCAAGCCATAAGCATGGCCATGTTGACAAATGCACAGTAGCAATTTTATCACCATTTTATCAACATTCATGACACCATAGGATCAAGTTTTTAAGTTAACCCTAGAGAGGGCCCACAGCAGAGAAAAACGAGCGTGCAATCACTACATTAGTGGAGGGAACTCACACTTAGAGCCCAACATCTCCACCCAACAATCTCTGGAGGACAACCTTGGACTGCTCGCAGCAGAGCTGCTGCTCTTGCCTCCAGGGAGCAGGTTCACAAGCTGTTACTGCTGTTACTCCAAACTAACCTTGCCACCTCTACAAGGCAGCACCACCACCTGCAATGAGGGACTGGTCACGTCAAATACCTAAACAGCAACCAACCTAACCACGTAACTTAGAGGAAACACTCTAAACAACAAATAGCACTGGTCCTTTAAAAAATAAAATGGGGGAAAAAAAAAAAGGTAAAAGACAAAAAGTCCTTGGAGGAGAACATGCTCTATCCTCCCATGAACATATGGCTGATGACTTCAGGGGACAGAAGCTGTGCAGTCCTGCTCTGGCAGGGGAAGGGTAGCACAAGGACAACGGGGAAGGTGCAACCCCATAAACTACGAAGCCACGGCAGTGGGGTAATGCAGGAGAAGCCGGAATTGATTACTTTGCCCTTGCACAATCCAAACCAGAAGCAGAGTTGGGGCTTCAGGAGCTCCTGCAGACGTGGTCCTCCAGGGCACGGAGGGCAGCTCAACTCTCTCAAAGGCAAAATCTACTCAACGTTTATGAGCATTTACCTCCTATGCAAGAAAAAGTAAAATAAATGCCATACCATGGCAGGAAAGAAGCAAGCAGTGCTATGGCGCTTTTGCAGTCCCAAGGGCAATACTACAGACTACCGAGTTTTACCTAAATGCCTTCAAAAAGGCATAAAGAAGGAAGGAAAAAAAAAATCCTAGTTTGTACTCCTTGGAGATATTATGGCCTAGATAGGCCGGAACATCTTTTTAGTCCTTTCTCTTTCTAGAAAGGCCCAGCGCCCTGAAGATTTATCTGCGCCTCTCCCCTCCCCCCCTAAAAAAAAAATAAGGAAAAACTAAAAAAATTTCACGTTAGCAGGACAAAGTCAGAGGCAAGAGTTGAGAAACAGGATCCGGAAGGGGCTATTTGCGGCCGTTCCTCTTTCCCCAGCGGCGAGCACCAGCTCAGAGCCCGACGGACCCAGGACGGCTTTCCCGGGGGGCTCCGGCCAGGCCCCGCGCCCGCGGCTCCCCGGCAGGGCCTCGCACCCCGCGAGGGCCCGGCGGCCTCGCGCAGGCCCCGCTGCCGCCCCCCGCCCCGGCCCCGGCCCCGGCCCCGGCGCCGCCTTACGCTGTATGGCGGGCGGCGGCGGGTAGCGGGCGCGCAGCTCGGCGCCGCCGCCCTGCACGCCGCTGCTCACGTAGTTGCTGGGGAAGATGCCGACGCGCTCGTCGATCTTGCCCGTCCACCAGCCCTCGTCGCCGGACACGTGCGCGTCGCGCGACAGCACCTGCACCACGTCGCCCGGCCGCAGGCTCAGCTCGTCCTCGCCGCACGCCTCGTACTCGAAGACGGCGGTCCAGAGCGGCTCGGCGCCCTGCGCGCCCGCCGCTGCGAGGGGCTCCATGGCGGCGCCGCTCCATAGGGGGAGGCGCCCGCGGGAGC